AGTTCGACCCCAACGAGATCAAAGTCGTGTACCTGAGGTGCACCGGAGGTGAGGTCGGCGCCACATCCGCCTTGGCCCCTAAGATCGGCCCCCTGGGTCTGTCTCCGAAAAAAGTTGGTGATGATATTGCCAAGGCAACCGGTGACTGGAAAGGCCTGAGGATTACAGTGAAACTGACCATCCAGAACAGACAGGCCCAGATTGATGTGGTGCCCTCTGCCTCTGCCCTGATCATCAAAGCCCTCAAGGAGCCACCAAGAGACAGGAAGAAGCAGAAGAACATTAAACACAGCGGAAATATCACTTTCGACGAGATCGTCAACATTGCCCGGCAGATGCGACACAGGTCTTTAGCCAGAGAACTTTCTGGAACTATTAAAGAGATCCTGGGTACTGCACAGTCTGTGGGCTGCAATGTGGATGGGCGCCACCCTCATGACATCATTGATGACATCAACAGTGGTGCTGTGGAATGTCCAGCTAGCTAAGAAGCAACAAGAGAAAATATTTCAATAAAAGACCATCTGATAACCAGAAAAAAAAAAAAAAAAAAGAATTTACTGTATGGAAATGGCAGAGTGTTCTGGTAAACAAGACAAGTGAATGCAAAACAAGGAATGCTTTAATTTCCAGGGTTAATAATCAGATCACTTGACTCGAGACTATTTGTTAACTTGTTCATATAATAAAGTATCGGATGGTTTTGGATAGCCCTCTAGCTCAGGATCCTTTACGAACTCACCATCAGCCTATCAGCCAGATCTCCAGTCACTCAAAGCTTTCTGGACAATTCAAGGAGCTCTTCTATTTATTTCTTTATTTTGGCTTTTCGAGATAGGGTTTCTCTGTGTAACAGTCCTAGCTGTCCTGGAACTAGCTCTATAGACCCGGCTGGCCTTGAACTCACAGAGATCCACCTGCCTCTGCCTCACGAGTGCTGTGGTTTAAGACATGTACCACCATCGCCTGGCTTCACGGACCTCTTTTATAGGTAGCTTAGTCTCATGACTGATAAATTCATGTTAGATGGTAGCAAAAGATCTTAGTTCCTCTATGCTCTTAAAAACACTCATGAAACTCAAGGAAACATGGCAGCCCGCTCATCACAGAGTGATGAATAGGTTTCAAGATAAAGTTCCCAGTGTGTGAGAAATTACATGGTTGCTTCCACAGCAATGTAGTCTTTAGAGCAGCATCTGAAAATGCATGCTGTGTTCAAGAGGCCGTGACCTGACTCTTCCTTTGGAATGCAGATCACGCCAGTGTCCTGTAATAGATTCCCGTTTTCCTGTATCCTGCCTACCTGATGTTTCCACCTATGGATTTTTGAAATGCTTTGATTGATAACTTTCTTCATTTGGTTCCTATTAAAACTGCAACTGTTACCATGCTGAAACTTGTCGTGTAAGTAACCAAACTGTGTGTTCCTAAGCCGCAGTTACTCATAGTTAGCTCCTGAATGAGCTGTCTCTATTTTCTTTAAGCTTTAGGGTTTAGAGCAATGGCTGTGTTCTTTCCATGGTCAAGCTAACTATATAGGACCTAATCCACAGAAACAGCAACATCAGGGAAAAACTGTTTATAAGCTGGAAATAAAATGAGTCCTATAATCCTTTGGAAATATATTTCTGCATACTAAAGCTTTCTCTAAAACTCATCAGGTTATTGTTCCTATTTTCTGCTTCATTTTGTCTATGAATATGCATTACATGAATAAGGAAGCTTTATTACCAAAGATTCCTACATGTATTCCAGGCATCCATGAAAATCTTCAGGGACAACTTGTTTAAAATATAGATCCCAGGGCTCTACTTCATTATTAGAAAGCTGGAATGTTTTATATGGAAAACTAGAATCTTCAATATTTAACAAAGTCCTGAAAGTGGTCTAACTCAAGTAGTCCCAGAGATTCTATAGTATGGCTTTTCCTGGAAAGAAAAGTATCAGCATCTATTTATGTAAGATAGGCACAAACAATAGAACAAAGCAATAATTCACCAAATTCCAGCTTGGAGAAACTGTAGTTGTTAAGGTTGGAATGAAAATTTCCTCCATAGGACCACATGTCTGAACACTTAATCCCAACTTGATTGTGCTGTTTGGAGATGAGATGCATTTGTGGAATGTGGAACCTCATCTCTCCTCCTACTTACTCCACTCTGCTTCCTGTGTATTGTTGAGATAGGATCTCTTAGCTTCCTGCACTAGGCGCCATGTCTTCTCCAGATGTCTAGCCCTCTGGAATTATAAGTCAAAATAATATTCTTTAAGTTTCCTTGTTTTGTTTTTTATTGCTGACAAAGAAAAGTAACTAGTGCAGCATGAATAGCTCAGAAATAATCACATGTTCCAAATGTCCAATGCCCATGGATGAGGGACTCATGAAAAGTACACTTTGCACTACAGAGTCCCCTTGACCTAACCTGTCTTCTATGTACTCTAACACCTGCTAGGGTCCTGGAAGTACAAATGGAGAGCAGAATGACAAGAATTCCTAGGTGAGGATCCTAACACCTTCTTTTTACTTCGGTGTGTTAACAGCCCAACTACCATTACCATAAACCTCACTGTAAATATGTTATTCTGCTTATTTCATTGACATGCCTGTGGGGCTAAGATTCCGGCAAGTCATCATAAAAATGTAAGATTATAATTAATCTTATTATTATAATCTTATGATTATAATTATAATTAATATAAGATTGTATTATTATAATCATAAGATTATAATTATAGTCAGCTCTATTATTGCCAGTGTGATGCCTTGGCCATGCCTGGAGAAAATCATTTTACCCCAAAAGACTCAAATACAAGCAATAAGTAAAACTGGATTTTGTTTTTAGTAGTCCACACCAAGAAAAATATCTAGATGTAATTCCACACCATTAAGTACTGCTTAATAAAGTTAAGAGATAGAGGGGCCAGTAAAGTGTTTGCCAAACAAGCATGGTGAACTGAGTTTGATCTCCAGAGCACATGTAAGGAAGCTGGGCACAATTACATGTCCTTCTAATCACAGCACTGCGGAGGCAGAAACACGTGGATCTCTTTAGCTCGATAGCCAATCAGCCTAGACTCATCTGCACATTATAAGTCATCTTATGAAACAAGATGGACTGTACCTGAGGAATGACACCTAAGGTTGACCTATGTCCCATACAGGCATGGACACACAAACAGATGTACACTTGAACACAAATATGTTCCTGCACACACCTGAACACACACAGGCACACACCAAAAATTAAAAGCTAGTTAAGGAAAATAGGATTAAGTATTATTTTAGTGTATAAACTGCAGAATCTAAGGACTTTCTAGAAGAAAGACAGAATGATTTGCATGTATCTGTTTCAGGCCTGGAGACTAAGGAGGCATATTGACAATTCTTTATGACATAAACTTAGAAAGATTTTAAGGTCAAACAAAAATATCAGATCATTGAAAACTTGACTTCCAAGTTACAAAGCAGCAAAGAGAAAGAAATCATGTCACTTGGGGCCTCTTAGAAGGATGCTATGGAAAGAAAAAGAAGTCTTGACTCTGACACTCCCAAAATAATGGCAAAGTTTGCAGCCATCACTCGGAAGACAAAGAAATAAACAAGAATTTAATATTTATAAAACACCTAAAAATAATTTAGCAAGCACCTCTGACTTTATTAAATTTTAATTCTATTGAAAAAATTTTTCATTCATATTATTTTATGTTACTCTTAACTAAATTTTAAGCTTCATGAAAGATGACCTATCACTCCACCTTTTTTTTCTGTAATATATTTCACAGCACTGAAGAAATGAATAGAGCAATAGGTAGCATGGAATTATAGTTTGTTTGTTTGTTTGCTTGTTTTTCTAACAGTCACTTTCTGAAGAGAAAATAGTCTTATTGCTAGAGATTTTAAGGCAAAAGCCTGGTTGATATCTGGAAGTCAATATATGTTAATTTAAAAGAAACAACTGTAGAAATATAAACATGGGGGCTTATTCAGTATTCCATACTGGAAAGAGAGACGGAGTGTTCCAGTACCCTGAGTGCTGTTCTTGGGTACTGATATGAGTTCTAGGTTTAAGTGGAGAAAGAATTCAGACAACAGTGGGGCAGGTGATATGCATAATCAACCACTCTTTTTTAAATTTTTAATTTATTTTACATACCAACCACGGTTTCCCCTTCCTCCTCTTCTTCCTTTACCTCCCTCCACTTCTTCTCTACCTCCATCCACCCCTCAGAAAGGGTAAGGCCTCCCATGAGGAATCGTATCAAGTTGAAGATGGACCAAGCTTCCCCCACCCCCATATCAAGGCTGAGCAAGGCATCCCACAACAGATAACGGATTCCAAAGAGCCAGCTCATGCTCCAGGGAGAGTTCTGGTCCCATTGGTAGGGGATCCCACAAACAAATCAAGCTACACAACTCTCACTCACATGCAGAGGGCCTAGGTTGGTCCCATGCAGGCTCCTTAGCTGTCGGTTTAGAGTCTGTGAGCCCCCAGGAGCTGGGGTCAGTTATGTCTGCTGGTTTCTCTGTCATGATCTTGACTCACGGGGTGGGCCCTTGCTCTTATAATCCGTCCTTCCTCCCTTTGACTGGAGTCCCTGAGATAAGCCCTGTGCTTGGTTGTGGATCTCTGCAACTGCTTCCATAAGTTACTGAATGAAGGCTCTATGATGACAACTAGGGCAGTCACAAATCTGATTACACGAGATGGCCAGTTCAGGCATCCTCTCCACTGTTTCTAGGAGTCTTAGCTGGCGTCTTCCTTGTGGATTCCTGGGTATTTCCCTGGAACCATGTCACTCCCTAACCCAATAATATGTCCCTCTATTAACATATTGCTTTCATTGTTCTCCCTTTCCAAACCCTCTCCAACTTCAACATCTGGATTCCCTCACACTCTCATCACCATTCCCTCCCATCTACCACCCCCCAGTTTACCTAGGAGATCACGTCTATTTCTCTTTCCCAGAACAATCCATGCATCCCTGTTAGGGCCCATTTGTAACCTAACTTTTCTGGTTTTGGGATTGTAGCCTTGTTATCCTTTGCTTTATGTCTAATATACACTTATAATGGGTAAAATTTGAATAGATCTATAACCCCTAAGGAAATAGAAGCTGTCATTAAAAATCTCCCAACAAAACAAAACTCAGGGCCAGGTGGTTTTAGTGCAGAATTCTACAAGAATTTCAAAGAAGAGCTAATACCAATACTCCTCAAATTGTTTCACACAATAGAACATTGCCAAACTCTTTTTATGAGGCTACAGTTACTCTGATACCCAAACCACACAAAGATGCAACAATCTCCCTCATGAACATTGATGCGAAAGTACTCAATAAAATTCTGGAAACTTAATCCAAGAACACATTAAAAAAATCATCTACCATAATCAAGTAGGTTTCATTCCAGAGATGTGGGGATAGCTCAACATGCAAAAATCTGTCAATGTAATCCACCATATAAACAAACTAAAAGAACAAAGTACGATCATCTCATTAGATGCTGAAAAAGCCTTCAACATAATTCAATA